CAAAAATACCATGTTTATTCTTGGTCATAATTCAAAATTATAATACTTATCATTTTTTGTCAGAAACAATGAAATAAATACGTCAGCTTTCCTTTATTTTGTTCCTGTAACTAAATGTAGATAATCTGCAATTGACTACCAATCATATTTAGTTTAAATTGCAAAAAGTGAAAGGATATGGTAATAAGCCTTTGCTATATTTCAATAAGTAGCAGGTGGCGGAAAATAAGTGGTCAACAGTTGACAATACTGTATATTATCAGCCAGATGCTCTCTCTCTGGGATGTGTCTTTATTTTTTCATGCGTATTTTGTGTTTCCTACTAAATTGGAACAGAAACAGGTAAATAGGACAATTACACAAAAATTGGGAGGTGCTTATTTTTGGAACTATTGGTAGTAGTAGTGACATCATGATAATAATTTCGTGATAACTTAATTGATCGAATCGTTCGTTGTGAGATAGTAATAGATTCTTATTTTCGAAGGTAAAAACTTTGGGGAGGTGCTTATTTCGGAACTATTGGTAGTGACATCATAACTCTGATATTGATAATATGAATATGAACAGTTACAACATTTAGAAGGATTGTAATAATGATCACAGCAATATAAATATATACACAGGCACATGTTGTAGAACAAAGGATTGTGTTAAAATCAATCCCATTATATTTCTTACTTCCCTTGTCTTCGGTTGATAGAGTAAACCTGCTTGTGCGTCATTTTTGTTTAACAAAAGTTTTCAGGGGGCGATAAGCCATAAACGTAATTGTTCAATTTTTATCTATTGTTGGCTTCGATCACCTGGTAAGAGCTGTTGATTACAACGGGAAAAGCATAAAAACTTGACCTATTCGTGACGGTTGTTCAATATATTTACTCGACACTGTCCTCTCAAGAAGAAAATATGATGCTTACACTTCTCTTACTCTTGGCCTTCCCTATACCCTTGTTTATCTTCGGAACTTGCTGCGGGCCATTATGGCTGTCGTTATTAATTATTTTACTATGCAGGTGTGCTATAGTTGCGACCCTTTAACTTGTAAGGAAAAAGCAGTTTGCACGTCTCCTAACAACGAAGTATGTTGTCTAGAAAATGCTCCTTCCGAAAGAGCAATATGCGAACTCCGACCGAATTTAGCGACGAAGTGAAGGCGCTAATCAGTGAATGGGGGAAGATTATAATAAACAAACACAAAAACGATAAGTTTGACGACGATGATGACGACGACAATGACAACTTTTCTCCAGTGATCCTCTGTTGATCATTGAGTATAACCAGCCGGGCTTGGCTGTCAGAAATATCACGGAGGCTGACGTTGCCCAGCGTATGTAAATTTTACAATTTTTTTTTAAAGTTTTCTTTCTAACCTGCCTGCTAATTTTACTTTTTGAATCAGTCATTCGCGGCACTCCGGGGTATAGGGTGAATGATATATTCCCTAACAGCCCAACCCCACGCCTACAATCAAACATGGTCTTTTCGTTAAACAGTGGACAATTAGTCTCAGATGTTTTAGAAAAGGTTATACGATAATTACCACCTGGGACGACAATATCCTATCGTTGGACGGGTATACGTGTAACCTTTCGTAGAGCTGGGACATTTGAAGCAGTAGAAATGTATCATATATTCGATTGATACAACAGTGTCCGGTGCAAAAGGATTCGTACCTCACAAAAATTGCAATAAAAAACTTTTTACATAACAATTTAAAAAATAAAAAACCAATAGTAATAGTAATAGGTATTCGGATTTATTATACGATAAAAATTTTATTGAAATTCATTGTCGTTATCGAGATCACTATCATTATTATTTCGTCGTTTATATTTCTTTGGCTCTTGCGAGCACTCTTTTCCACAACCCTACTATTATTTTTTTTAAAAAATCTTGTAAAAACTTATTTTTAACATTTGAAAAAAAAAAAGATTTGAATGTGGGCGTGACTTCGATACTTTACCTTTTACTGCCGCCAATCGGCTGAAGTAAGGAGGGGTAAAAAAAAAAACTTGATGACCGTACTGCTTTGCTATTCAACACAAGCAAACGGAACCTTTTCTTTGCTTTTTTTGTACAAGTTCCAGAAGCTCAGGTTTTTGTAGTTTGTCTGAAAAAAAATTTGGTGGGCAGTTGTTTTCGTCTGGTTGTAATTTAGGTCGTCCAATGTCTGATGACTCGAAAACGCGCCGTCGTTGCGCAATCAGACAACACCGTACTCTCAGAAACCCCCGTAACCAGAGCAACTCGCTTTGCGTAATGTCATGTTTTAATTTTGCTTGTCGATGGATATAGCTCCAGAAAAGTATTTGTGATGTTTATTATCATCCACTTTTCGTTCTCTGTTAGAAGTGCGGAACTTCGGTTACTCGAGAACTAGACATGAAAGAACAATAAATTTTGCGCACCGGACCATATATATATAAAACTATTTGATTATGGCAATACGCATTGTTGTATGTTATAGAAAAAGTTTTGTTATATCTTTATTGTAGACGTAGTTCAAGATTGTCCAACCTTTACAAATTCAAATTCGTCAAGCGTTGCTAATTCTAGACTGTAATGTGGTATCGTTCTTCTCAATTTCGTAACAACAGACAATTCTACTCCAAGATTTTTCTGAGCAATATACGCCAAAACACTATCAATTCCAACTAAATCACTTTTGACGACGACGTTTTGATCTTCCTGCTACGATGTTCTTTATTTGTCAATATTTCACTCACTGTTGACTTTCCACAATGAAAAAGCCTAGCAAGTTCTTTGTTGGTAAAAGGAGGGTTATTTAATTTTTTCTGACATGGGTTTTTTTTGCGCTCCAGTTAACGCTGTTCTGAAATTGTTGGT